GGAAGGCCTAGCAACACCCGATCCCCCCTCCCCCGGATGCCCCTGTTGCGCCGGGCGACGCGGCGGACGAGCGAGCCCGGCGCACCGCGCGCGGGGGGCGTCAGCGCTTCCGCGTGAGCCGGAGCAGCAGCACGCCCGCGGCCGCGCAGACCTGTCGGGGATCTTCTGGCCCGGGTCGATCCAGACCCGGGTCAGTCAGGCCTTGCACAGGCCTTGCAGGCTCCTGCAGGATCCTGCACCCAGGCCCGGGTCAGCGCGAAGAATCCTGCAGGATCCTGCGCCCCAGCCCGGGTCAGTGCGACCCTGGCCCTGCAGGTTCCTGCAAGGTCGGGCGCTCTGGCTGACCCCCGTTTGCATTGACCCCCGTCTCCAGCCTCCCGAGGAGGAGGAGGAGGCGGAGGAGGAGGAACCTGCGGGCGTGCGGGCGTGCAGAGGGTCTGGTCGAGGCGCAGGGCCCGGAGCATCGCTCAACCTGTCTGTAGGTCTCTTGAGACCCCCCTCAAAAAAATGGAAGCCCATGGTCTCCTCGACGCCCTGGTTGACGGACTGGGGTCCCACCGAGCATGGAGAATAGCTATGGGTGCACAGCTGCAGACATCCTGAGGAGCACCGATCCCGGATCCCAGATCCCAACTTTGAGCAGTGACCGACCGTCCTGGCATCCCTACTCGAATAGGCATACCACGACATGTTCTTGGAACCGAAACATCTTCTGAGAAGAAAAGCAAGGTTCTTAGAACATAAACCAGAGCGTTAATTAAAGCAAGGCTGTCTCGGCCAGGAATGTTGTACGAGCATTTCGTGCAGACCACACAAGGTTCCCAGACCCCCGACGTAACAATGTTTTCACGACGTCGACCTCCAGGGGTCTCGACCCATTCCCCGAGACCGGCTGTTCATCCTGAGTTGTTTTCTGGCGGTCCCGCGGCCAGGTCAGGGCCCCCGGAGGCCAAACATGGTGAAAACCTGGCGTCGTGATTCTTTCATGACTCGAGGGGGACGGTGTTCTCGGAACATTACTTGGTGGGCCTGCAGGCGTGCCAAGACGCTTCGCCACTGCTTGCCCACTGTCGTGGGATTGGCTACACCAGCCGTCCTCCTCTCCCTCCTCCTCTCCAGGAGGAGGAGGAGGAGAAGGAGCAGGAGCAGGAGCAGGAGGAGGAGGAGGAGGAGGAGGAGGGAGAGGAGGAGGGAGAGGAGGGAGAGGAGGAGGGAGGGGGAGCGTGAGCCAGCCGAGGTGGGCACAGAACCGCCTCCTCCCGTCGCGCTTGTTGGGGCCCATGCCCGCCCAGGAGGAGGGTGATCTGGTGGGGCCGAAATACCACGGCCCAGTGGGGATGGGGATCCAGGGTCGAGGATTGAGGGTCGAGGAGAGGAGGAGGAGGAGGAGGAGGAGGAGGAGGAGGAGGAGGAGGAGGAGGAGGAGGAGAAGGAGGAGGAGGAGGAGGAGGAGGAAGGAGGAGGGGAGGAGGAGGGGGAGGAGGAGGAGGAGAAGGAGGAGGAGGAGGAGGACGAGGAGGAGGGGGCGAGGGGCGCGCGACATCGCCAGCCGCAGCAGCAGAGGGCGGGAGAGCCACCCTCGAAACAGGCTGCTCGACGCAGCGAGGCCGTGGAGTACAGTGGAGGCCAGTCCACAAGAAACTATCCCAAGAAACCCCACCCTGAGTCCCCAGGACGTCCACAAACTGCCTGGTGTGGAAACGCCACGCCTCCCGTGGCAAGAGCACCGAAACCCAAGCAAGCCAGGGCACCCTGGAGGCAAGCGTAGAAGAAGAAACAACGACATAAACATAAACTGTTGGTGCTCCGCGCGGATTTGTTGGATCCGCGCGGGACCCCCCTCCCTGGCGCGCGGAGCGCGCCAGAGGCAGCGCTGGAGGCGCCGCATGGGGGGGGGGCCCAGCGCGGATCCAAGAAATCAACGCGGAGCGCCAAACGTTTATGTTTATGGCGTTTGCCTTCTTCGAATCAAGGTGTTGCTTGGCGTGGGTTTCCACCGTACGGGTGCACAGCTACAAACATCCGGAGGTCCACCGATCCCGGATCCCTAATCCCCCCTGTCGAGGCATTGGTCCCACTGGCCGGCTTGCCGACCGAGGTGGGCACCGAACTGCCTTTTCCGTCAAGCATAGTGGGAGCCCCTCCCCACCAAGAGGAGAGTGACCTGGTGGGGCCGGGATGCCATGGCCC